ACGTTACCTCTAGACTACGGAGGCCGCTTTAACATGATTGAATATTACTAATGGTTGTACACCTTAATTTATTTGTGGTTTTCTCTGAGTATACTTTTCAGTAAAATTAACATATGGAGTGCTTTATTAGTTTACAAGTGTAATCTCAGATAGTGGCTAGCCATTTTAAGGAAAATGTAAGAAGCTTTGTAGAACCGACGGTAGAACTTTCAAAGTGAAGCAGATTTACTGTGCCTCAGAGATAGCAGCATCTAAATGGTCTGGTATGAGAATTTGCTTACATTGACACATATATGGAATGAATTCATTACAACCAGTAGGTAGAATGTCCTATGTCAAGCAAATACAGATATCTATATTCACTTTCACACTAAAGTTTCCTTACTGTTCATATTGTAAGCAGTAAATTTTATGTTGGTGTAGTTACTACCTTTAAGCAATAATATTTATATAATTAAATGCATCTTTGAAGTTGCTTAATTAAATAAGGTCTTAAAATTTCACTTAAGGAATGGAGGGATGTTTTAACACATTGGGATTTGGTGCTGTGATAGCGTTTTTTTTAGGTCTTTCACAGACTGAAAACAAGTAAGAAATTATTGAAAGTGAGGCAGTTGAAAAGCAGAGGCCTGTGACATTTCCTTATGAGAAGGTACCAATTTTTAACTAAAGAAGGGTTGTGTGTCTGTGACATTGAATAGAATGTAGTGGATTTCAAAAAGAAAAAACAAAGCTCTTATATCAGTAGGTAGAATATGCAGGCCGTTGAAACTTGCAAGTAGTTCATTCATAAATGACATTTTTTGAAGTTTGTATAATTTGTTGATATCTACTTGGTCTCATTTCCAGTCTTGTTTGAGGTTTCATCCAGTTACAGTGCATGCAGTTTTTAATGTTTTTTAGTTATCTATGAATTGCATATTAAAGTATTGTATATATCTCACTGAAATATGTTTATATTCACAAGGAACCTTAACTTTGTACAACTTGATGATATTAATGGTAGCTAGCACATGTAGTTCCACTGATATGTATCTGAATTTATGTCATTACAGGATATCCTTTTGACAAACACAGACCAAAACTAGAACATCATTTTATTGTTAAATTTGCATGAACATTACACATTTGTGAAATATGCTTTAAAATAATAATAACAAATTATTTAAATAATAAGACTTACACAATGTCATGAAAATTAGATCCTTTTCAATGCAATAGCATTATCTATGAATGTATTTGATACAAAATGAAGCATTTGTGTTAAGTAGTCTGAGGATCTCATATTGCATTTGCCCAGTTAGAAGTCATCCTGAGGGTGAGATCAAGTAAATTATTATCCTTGTGGCCAAGTCTGCACAGGATAATTAGCCTTTAATGAGTATACAGTTGAACTGTATGTGCGGTATTTTCTCTTGCATTTGTATGCATTACTTGAGTGTGTCTAGAAATATGGAATTTCAGATGTAAATAAAATATATACATTCTGTGGGTATATGTTATGTGAAGAAGGGTGGCTAATCATTATGGACATGGCTAGAAAAAATCCATGAAATTCTTTAATTTTGCTGTTAGTGTAATTAAATTGTGATTTCCTACCATGTTATAATTTTTTATGTGTGTGTGTGTGTGTGTTTGTGTGTATATTTCAGATTTTATTTACTTTTGTGTAAATAAAACAATAAATTAAATGTGATGTAATGGCCATGCAGGAAAGTGATTTGGTTCTCAGTTCCTTGCACTTAATGAAATAGAGGGTGGGGTGCAGAAACTTCCTTTTTGTGAAGACACATTGTGAAGAGCAGTCACGGAAGTTTCTGTCTAATAACCCTCAGTAGGAAACATGAGGTGGATGAGCGAGCAGCGTGCGTTTGCTGTCAAAGCCTATTTTTCGAACAACCATTCCTACATGGCGGTGCAGCGTGCGTTCCGTACTCACTTCGGAATTAAGCCCAGAGGTCCGGTTCCCGACCAGAAATCGATTGTTTTGTGGGTAGAGAACTTTAGGACAACTGGGAGTGGGGTGAAATTATCATCAGGACGACAATGGGCCGTTATGACGCCAGAAAATGTGGAGGCAGTTCAACAGTTGATTTTGAGATCTCCAAGACATTCCGCTCGCAAACATGCAGTCGCCCTAGACATATCCAATCGTTCAATGCGCCGAATTCTTCATGAACATCTTAATTTCCATCCTTGTAAGATGGTTGTGCAAGAATTGTCACCACGTGATTTCCAGAACCGAATAACGGTGTGCAAAACATTATTGGAAACTTTACCCCCTGATGTACTTGTTTTCTTTAGTGATGAGGCACATTTTCACCTATCTGGATAGGTCAACAAGCAGAATATGCGCTGTTGGAGTGGTAACAATCCCACAGAGCTCCATGAGAGGCCACTTCACAGTGATAAGGTGACAGTATGGTGTGCACTGTCAAGAGTTGGAGTTATTGGCCCTTATTTTTTTGAAAAAGACAATCATGCAGTTACTATAAATTTACAGCGGTATGTGGACATGATTAAAAACTTTTTTGAACCAGCTCTTGAAAAAATGCATCTAGGAAATGTCAGGTTCCAACAGGATGGTGCCATGGCCCACACAACCTGAGCCTCTTGAGGGCAAAGTTCCCCGGGCGACTCATCTCGCTTTGAGGTGACATCCTGTGGGCAGTGCACTCACCTGATCTAACGCCCTGTGATTTTTTTATGGGGATACCTCAAGGGAGAGATTTTTAAACATCGCCCCACAAACCTGCTTCAGCTGAAGAATGTTATTCGGCAGGAAGTAGCCCCAAATTCCGGTGCACATGTTGGAACGTGCAGAGGGGAACTTCAGAAAACGGTTGTATCAGTGCATAGAGAACGGTGGCCACCACCATCAAGATATTTTGTTTAAACATACATGATTTAAAACTTTAAAGTATGTTCTTTCATTAGCTAAACATAAATTTTGTCTATCAGCAATAATTTTTCTTTTATTCGCCTTCAAAAAAAGGAAGCTTCTGCGCTCCACTCTATACATTACAGTTACTTCCAGTGTTACTTATTGAATATTGAAGTAGAAATAGCTGATACCCAGTGGAATTTTTCAGTGTGGAGGTGATGTTGATAATATGTCACATTTTGTTCTCCACAAATATACAGCCATATAAGTGAGGACTTTTGCTCTGTAGATGTTCTGTACTGTACCTATAATAAGGCCCCTTCCAAGGCTGTTGTTGATGTGCATCCACGAGTTAGACAAAGGAATTGAATACCTCCGACTCATTAATTGTAAAGATAGAGCTGAGCTTTGTTATGTAGACTGACTTCTGTAACTCTCATTATCATTTTACTTAATTAATCCGTGGAATGTGTTAAGAGACTCCAGCAAGAAAACTTTGAATGCAATAATTCCAGTTATTCAAACATTGCAGCATAGTAATTACTCTGTTTAAGATTTATGTATCTGATGTTCCTGATCCTCTCTCTTGAGGCCATTTTACTTATGGCAGTAAAGTAAATGGCATAACATGTTATTGCATTTTCAATTGCTGTGATCAGTATGGAAAGGTGGCACTCTTTACCTAATAAGTTCTAAAGATGCACATAGATAACCATTATGTGATATTTTTATCTATATCTGTGAATAACTGACATCACTGTACAAAGTTTATATGTAATTTATTTACTTATGGCTTATTAAATGATAGTGTCAGTAACTCAGACTAAATGAATGAATTGGAAATGACTTGGAAGAATTTGTGATAATATCCTGGAATTTTCTTGTTGGAACTCAGGAAAACCACAAAGTCAGGTGGTCACTGGGATAAACCTACCTTCTAAACAAGAAACAGGAGTCAAAACCACTTCACTGTGACATTTGATGACGATCTCTTTGTAGTTAGAGAAGAGTGATTGTAAGCAATTACGAATGATATAGTTTTATTCTGCACCGAGATCAGGTGGACTCATGTGATAGACACCAAAATTAATGTGCAGGTAGACATAACCATCATTTTTACAATGCTTTCCCTATTTTGAAAGATGAATATAGGCACAGGAGATCACCTAGCTGTCTGTGGATCCACCTAGCTGTCTGTGGATCCTCCTATATGCTACGCAACCACTCACTAAACACATGCAACAACAGAATAACTGTTGGACAAATCATTTCTTATGCTGTCCATGTGGTATCAAAGTAAAGTAGGTGATTAGTTCTTCCAAGAATTTTTTGTCATGTTTTAGTTAGTTAGTTAGTTATTGGAGAGGGTTGGTTTCCCCGTGCACTTAGACCAGTATTGGTCCATTGTGCTTCCCTCTATGATATTCTACCAGTCTCTATACCCTACCGATAATGGTGTGTACCATCAGTCCCGACCGAGCCAGCGAGTTTTCAACTGACTTGGCGGTGTCTATAATGCTTCCCCCATCTATCAGAGGCCTTAGAGACTACTGTTGGGCGGGAAACGTCCTTGAATTTGGCTCAGTGATCTCCCTTGGAGATATGAGGTTCTTTTATGTGCCGTAAAGCTAAGACACGGGACCCACGGCTTGAAGTTCCTCCCGGAGGACTTGTTCCCTGAATTTTTACGCCCTTAAAAATTCGACGACCTCTGCTGGGTATTTGAACCCACGTACCACGAGTAATGAGGTGGGAACGTTACCTCTAGACTATGGAGGCCGCTTTTGTCATGTTTTAACTTTCTAGTACTCAAAATGAAACCAATTTGGACAAACAATTGAAAGACTAATTCTCTGAAGGCTAAGAAATAAACTTTGACTCACCCATCCAAATGTTGGAGATAGTGAATGATAATACTCATATCTGGAATGTTTCATTGGTATTTATTTTAGATATTGTAATGAAATTGTATAAACTAAAAGTTTATGTATCATCAGAGCAGATAAAATGGTTGGTATGTATAGTCCATGGGAAATAATTTGTTGAAGTAGTAATCACAGTACTATCAAAATATATTCCTTTATTGATCAGTGGAAACCACTAAAACCTCAGGACATTTTGTGTTCTGGGGGAGATCAAAACTTTCATTCTTCTCAATTCTTTCTTCTATCCTCATCTCCTGAAGTTTCGATCACAGTTTCATACCTTAGCTTTTCTTGTAATTTATTTTGGTTGTAATAATAATAAGTAAAGAAAAGGCAGAACAGGACAAGTGCAAAGATGAAATTATTTTTCAAGAAGTTCGCACTCAACCATAATTCAGAAAGAATTGTTTTCTTCATCTTCACCAGGTGAATGCTGGGTTAGTACCTTAAAGTAGGCCGTAACTACTTCCTTACACATTCTCTCCTGTCAGTCAATCAGAACCATCTTATCAGTAGACACCAGTGAAAAAACGAATCCTTAAATAAACCACAAATCAGTCACTTAACTACTGCTCTTGTTTAAGAAGTGTAATATTTTAAATATGTGTGAGTTGAGGTTCCTGATGGTGGTTTTTAAAATCATGGCCTCCTGTGATGTGACTCCATGTTATTTGGTACCTGTCTACTGAACTAGGTGGTGTAACAACCCAGAAGGTTGGAGTCTACAATACTGTAGTCATTAGATGTTTGTTATCATAAATTTATGCCACTTTCAAATTACATACATTTGAGCAACTAGTTAGCAACTTATCACCATTCTGTGTCAGCTTCTTCAAACCTTATACAAAGCCCCATCTTCTCTGCGGGAGTAACCTGCGTTTGTTTGAGCAACATGAGGTGCTGGTATTCCCAATTTAACATTATAGATATCAGGATGCTGTCCAGTACCACCAAATCTGATGGGATGCCCTCGTGATGGAACTTCAGGTGGCGGAATATGCTTGGTATTTCTTAGTACTCTCCTGGAACACAGAAGCTGCTGATCTGTGGAATATACTTCAAACTGTGTGACAAATATATGCAGATGAGAAGATTAGTTATATAAGAATGGGACAAAGAGCCAAAACCTTCATAATGTCCACAAATTTCAGTTTTATTTTATTTAGGGATGTTGTCAGCAGTTCAGATTACAAACATTGAGTACTATGATGATGATGATGATGATGATGACAATGATGATGATGATAGAGAGAACAGTGACTTGAAAAGAATGTGAAAGAATGTAGTTATAGCCTAATTTGAGGTAATATTTTACCTGCAAGATCTGAGGAAAAGCACAACAAATCTTAGACAGAACATTTGGTGTTCTGACCAGAATTTAAGCTGGGCACCTGAATTCAAGACTTGAGCCAGCTTCTGTGACAAATGTCTTTTGTTTCATTATGTCTGTAATGTATGGTTAATTACAGTATTGTATTTGTTCTTATTTTATAGTGAGTCTTACATTCTTACAACAGTATATGCAAGTTTATTGAAAACAGGAAAAAATATTTTATTACCATGTTTTGTGGCCTAGTGTCTCAGGTTGTAAATGCACATCAGTAATGTCTGGAAATACTTCTGCGTCATGTCTATAGATTGAATCAAGCACAAAATCAAGTTTGTCTTGTGGAGCATTGCAGCACACATAGGCAACAGACTGACGCATACTGCTAAGCGTATGATGTGCAAATAAACGCTGCCAAACTGATAAATTTTTAGCCCAGTTAGGGTCGTTCCTTAGGTCAACCTGAATATCCCTCTTCTTAGGAATCATTTCGTTTTGTTTTGTACAGTTTTCTTCATCCTCATATTTAGTTCTATTAGGTTTTAATGTAGATGTATATGCAATTTTTGCAACTTCCATAGGAGTATAATTTGTTTTATTTGAATGTGACAAGTCTTTATATCTAGTAATTTTATCCTTCAGTCTGGGATCTCTGTCTGTTGTTGCTGTCTGGACCCACTTCTATAAAATACAACACATGAAATGGCACATTAACAAGGTTTATATGACAACAAACCTTTAATATCCAACTCATAAAATTGTTTATATTGTTGTTCAACATGAAAGAGATTCCACATGTCATTATTCAACTTTAAATACAGATTCCATATATGATTAACTGTAATGGTGATTAGTAATATTATATTGCACAAAGCTACTTTACAAATCTAGAAGAATGTAAAAGAATTTGAAACCTACCTTTATATCAATTTAAAAGTGCTAAAGAATATATAAATTTAACTTTATTTTGGTTTTGGAGGAAATCAGAAAGCTGTATCTGGTACAATTAGAAGTATATTAGTACTTGTAGTTGTTCAGAACACTTTTTCAAATTTTTTAAACTCCAATGAAAATGCTATTAACTAAAACATTAAACCTAGTATGTCTTCATTCTGTCATTGTGTAAGTGTGTGTATGATGTGAATACATTATGAATGTTATGTCTGGATGTCCATGTATCATTCAGCTTTCTCATGTTTACAATACAAGGAAGTATTATGTTCAACCTCTTTATCAACCGTCACACGGGCACATGGTAGAGTAGTTGATTGAGATGCAACGGTATAAGCCAGAAGGTCATGCGTTTGATTCCCAATAAGGTGACTGAATTTTTCTATTCGCATAATCCTTCCGGCCGCACTATAACCCTGGGGCCGACTCAGCCTCTAACAGTAATGAGTACCAGGAATCTCCCTGGGGGTAAAGGACAGCCAGCTGGCACAGAAGGCTAACCATCTCGCCACCATCTGTGAGCTGATTTTCTAGAAAAGGTGGGAACCTTGATGCCTCATAACCCTATGGGCCTCCAAGGTCTGTTACTACTGCTAATAATAGTGTTATCTCTATATGACTATACTCTGTGATTTACATTGTACATAAAATACGAATCATACGATTCTAAATACATTATTTCCGTTTTAAGAAATTCACCTACATTTTTTAGTTTATACTTAATTTAACTCATTTTTACTGTTCTACGTTTATATCTCATGCTTTTCTTTTAGTGAAAATATGTATTCTCACTATTACTTCATTTTCCGTTTCAAGTTGTGTGAAATGGAGGAAGATATAGAAGTAATTCCTGCAGCCTCTGAATCTGCTCTGCCTAGGATTTCAGTCTTCCAAGCCACTAACGATTCCTCTTTCTGTCTACTGAATATCGTACCCTAATTCCAGCTGAAAGTGCCTGAAGGGCGAATGTCAAACGAACACTTGTTGATTATTTACACAAATTATTATTATTATTATTATTATTATTATTATTATTATGTTTTGTTTCTTAATTCAGCTATTTATATTGGAATTTTCAATTTTCATGATTGTCAATGGAGGCAAATGTCTTCACAAAATACTTTCTCCAAATTTACTGCAACAGAAACTTTCGCAGTTGGAGCAAAGTCAGGGGGTGTGGGTCTCCTCCCATTCGTTACAGTTTTAAATTCAAGGTTTCTTGTCAGAGTCGTCCAACGATTATTTGAATCTTCTGACAGTTAATGACGATATGAATTTAACTAGTTGTTTCCATTATATTGGTTAGATTACTATAATTTTTTAAGTCGCCGTCTCTTGTTGAGATGACTATTTTATTTACAGACATATCAACAAGCCCATTTTTTTTTTATTTAAGATCGCAAAATTTGAAACAAATGACCATAACAATGGTAGACATTCTGCATTTCGGATCGTGTCCCAGGTACGCCTGTATGGATTGCATTGATATATGGATGTATGTACTGCGCACATACGTTAATCAGTTTCTTACGCACCTATTTAAATAGTGCAGAAAATAAGAGAGCGAGAAATCTAAGGAGGTTATATTATGTGAATGTACTTTAATAAACAAAATAAACCAGCTTCCATTACGCAAGTATTGCGAATGACCATTTTTGGTCCATCTTTGCCACCGACACGTGTATAAAATTTGTTTGCAGATTTGATGACTTACACGAATAGGAATGTCATTGATGAAAAGTTCTGTCTCTAATAATGGAAGTGGGCCGTAATTCCGTGCTTGTTTTTCCATTAAAAATTGTGTTTGAAGCAAAGTGACATATAACAAACCCGAAACGAGATTATTCGAGAAAATTGAGACCGTATCCATGACAACTGTCCGTGTGTACCGCAAAGCACGAGACAAAATCGATCGTTTCCGACTAGTCTCAACATACGCAATGTCAAACCAATTTCGGGTAGGTAATGTTAAATAAAGAGGGTCGACTTTTTTATTATTGTCGGTTTAACTTGTGACTTTGCTTTATAGTCTAGGAGTAGTAGTATCTACATTACTGGAGGTATGAATCTGCACGTAGTAAAGGACATTTGGTGGTTGTTTTTATTGTGTTTCCTCACAACTTCGGATGGGATTAACTATGAAGATCAAGATTTGGACCCATGCAAGGAGGTAAGAAAGCCGAGAGAAGGCAGAAATGAATATCGTTGCCTACTTTTCCTTAATATTTTATTACAAACATATGAACTCTCTTTCTACCGAAAACTGTAGTCTGTCGCAATGCATTTTTTTATTCTTAGTCCACTTGGTACGGCGGCCACTACTGGCCTATCGTACCAGCTCCAGGTGATAGATGATGGTGATTGTTGAGCAATTGCTGGAATGAAGATTGGCAAGGGAAACCGAAGTACTCGGAGAAATCCTGTCCCAAGGCCCCTTTGTCCATCATAAATCCCTACACACGACTAGACCCTTGGCTCGAATCCGGGCCGCCGCTGTGGGAAGCCAGCGGTTAGCCGCCTGAGTTATGGCGCGGTCCTATCGCAATGTAAGTCTAAATCTTAGTATTGGCATGATGTGTTCCAGGACTTTAGCCGCAGATATCTATTATTTCATTAACGCTGAATTTTCTTCGGTCCGATACATGCTTATCAGTCTATAAACTGACCTCTTGTACGATGCTTTATTCAGTCCCAACATGAACATTTGTGTGCAGTCAAAGAGTTCGGCATGTTTAGAGGGCTGTACTGGTAACATTTTATTACATTTATTTTTGTGTAAAATATTGGGCCTAGGCCTACCTCCATGAAACTCCGTTTCACTTCGGTTTACTAGATCTTACACATTCGGTAGGACTCCTTGGGCGAGTGATCAGCTCGTCGCAAGGCCTCTACCTGTAGACAAACACAGAAAAACGCACACAAACATCCATGCCCTGAGTGGGATTCGAACCCACGATCCCGGCTTCCGAGCGAGCGAAGACAGTGCACGCCTTAGACCGCTCGGCTACCGTGACCGGCATAATAATGTATTGCTGTTGACAAATCTTGTAAATGAATTATACAGATATATGGAACTGTATTTTGTGTAGAGTATCCTGAAAGTTATAGTAACATGAATTCACATTTTGTTTTATTCATAGAACTTTTTCAAAAACGTGTTTATCGTCCCTCTCGCATTAGCCTCAAGGTCCAAGCACACGAGGGCCCGATATGATATGCCTACCGGCGCGCACAAGTTTGAGGAGAACTACTAATTATTCATATCCTGTTCACCGATTGAGTGTTTTATGTCCACGGATCGCAACGAAAAATGAATTTTCAGTGCGCCATATGTGCTGGATCATTGTATTTAAACAGAAATATATACAAACAGCAGGAAGCATCTGAATTGTCTGCATTTTATCACTTTATGGAAGTATTTGTTTAGCGTATTTTGCAATTAAAGAAAACGTTACGATTTTGAATTGCCGTATTTGCAGAGGTATATAAATAAACGTGTATGCTCAGAATGCAAACTTGTATGCCATCACGTGCTTCAGATCATGCGTATGATATCTCCAAAAGACGTCAGAAATATATATTTTTGGGAAAGGCGGATAGACTAAACATTGATAGTTAACATTTAATTGTATACAAGTAGACAGAACATTAAGTAGGGTTGGGGTGGGGGTGGGGGGGCGACCATCTCTTCGTTCTTCCCTGAGTCCCAAAGTTCCTAATAGGTTCTGGATATTTATTATCTTACTCGTCATGACTTGACGGAATGGTTCATCGATGTAAAAAGAACTTTTCACCTTATAACTCGATTTCAGATAAGTATGCTTGTGGCTGTCTCGCCGTGTAGGCACGTAGAACGGTTACAAAAGTAACTAATTACAGTCAGCACACAGACCATACTGCTGTTATCCAAGTGTTATCTGAATCCTGCCGACAAACATCCGGTTTATGCCCTAACAAATTATAACTACCACTCACATCTCCAGTTACGTATTCATGTTGACAGTTGATGAAGCCAGCATTCCTCAGTGTTCAGAAGTCTCGGGAACAGTTTTCCTGACGGAGCCTTAAATTTCCATTTCAAACAACAGAAATAATTTTCAGTTCTTCTTTATGTGCCCCAACGTGTTATTATAAAATAAGCTGATTATTATAATTGCCGGTATAATTATGATTATGAAGACACCCGGCACTTTCAAACCGAAGGACGGCAGCAAATAAAAACTAAATTCATGGGGAATAAAGAGCAGATTAAATTCCATGAATGCTTCCAACTGTTCACATCAGAACCGTTTACCTCCTCACCTACTGTCTAACTTAGAATGTAAACACTGAATAATAATAATAAAAAAAATTATACCTGTGCCTAATTACTTAATCAAGAACTAAACCATGAAGTCATGTGAGGGAGTAGAGGCACAGCTCCACCTTTCTTGATCTCGGCATTAAATGAAGCGGTCAGCTTCACGCCCCGGGAGAAAGAGCCCACGATACCCATTGAATAGAAGGCCGTATGGGCGCCGGAGTCGGTCTGGATTCTATGGAGAAAATCTCTTGTTCCTACCAGGAATGGAACCCCAGTCGTCCAGTCTATAGCTTAGTCGCTGTACCAACTGAGCTATTTCGGCTCCCCGACTAAAATATAATAATTGGATCCAGGTGGGATTTGAAATCGAATTTACCATAATTCGGAAGATCACGATTTATACAATTATGCACGCTGTTTTGTAAGGTGTGAAACATGGTCTCTTACACGAAGGGTAGAACGTATATTGAGTGTCCTTGAGAGTAGGGCGCTGAACCTACCGGAGNCAACAGAAACTTTCGCAGTTGGAGCAAAGTCAGGGGGTGTGGGTCTCCTCCCATTCGTTACAGTTTTAAATTCAAGGTTTCTTGTCAGAGTCGTCCAACGATTATTTGAATCTTCTGACAGTTAATGACGATATGAATTTAACTAGTTGTTTCCATTATATTGGTTAGATTACTATAATTTTTTAAGTCGCCGTCTCTTGTTGAGATGACTATTTTATTTACAGACATATCAACAAGCCCATTTTTTTTTTATTTAAGATCGCAAAATTTGAAACAAATGACCATAACAATGGTAGACATTCTGCATTTCGGATCGTGTCCCAGGTACGCCTGTATGGATTGCATTGATATATGGATGTATGTACTGCGCACATACGTTAATCAGTTTCTTACGCACCTATTTAAATAGTGCAGAAAATAAGAGAGCGAGAAATCTAAGGAGGTTATATTATGTGAATGTACTTTAATAAACAAAATAAACCAGCTTCCATTACGCAAGTATTGCGAATGACCATTTTTGGTCCATCTTTGCCACCGACACGTGTATAAAATTTGTTTGCAGATTTGATGACTTACACGAATAGGAATGTCATTGATGAAAAGTTCTGTCTCTAATAATGGAAGTGGGCCGTAATTCCGTGCTTGTTTTTCCATTAAAAATTGTGTTTGAAGCAAAGTGACATATAACAAACCCGAAACGAGATTATTCGAGAAAATTGAGACCGTATCCATGACAACTGTCCGTGTGTACCGCAAAGCACGAGACAAAATCGATCGTTTCCGACTAGTCTCAACATACGCAATGTCAAACCAATTTCGGGTAGGTAATGTTAAATAAAGAGGGTCGACTTTTTTATTATTGTCGGTTTAACTTGTGACTTTGCTTTATAGTCTAGGAGTAGTAGTATCTACATTACTGGAGGTATGAATCTGCACGTAGTAAAGGACATTTGGTGGTTGTTTTTATTGTGTTTCCTCACAACTTCGGATGGGATTAACTATGAAGATCAAGATTTGGACCCATGCAAGGAGGTAAGAAAGCCGAGAGAAGGCAGAAATGAATATCGTTGCCTACTTTTCCTTAATATTTTATTACAAACATATGAACTCTCTTTCTACCGAAAACTGTAGTCTGTCGCAATGCATTTTTTTATTCTTAGTCCACTTGGTACGGCGGCCACTACTGGCCTATCGTACCAGCTCCAGGTGATAGATGATGGTGATTGTTGAGCAATTGNGGAGAGAGATTGGAAAATTCGTCACCAACTTTGACTATGAAGTGCCTGTTTGAGAGGTATGATTTGAGGAGGAGGAAATAATTGAGGGGAAGGAGTTGTCGCAGTTTGAGATGTAGTCCAATGTGCCAGACTTTGTCAAAAGCCTGCGTTATGTCAAGAAAGGCAGCGGAACAGTACTGCTTGGATTCAATTGCATCATGTATCTTGTTTACTAGCCTATGAGTTTGGTGGATGGTGGAGTGCTGATAACGAGACTATTGCTTGCTCAGCTCATACTTAACCAAGCAATAGTCTCATGACATCGAGATGAATGAGATGGACTACACACGTTACACGTATAGAAGATATCAGAGATGTATGAAAAATTATAGTCAGAAAACGTTAAGTGACAGCTTAGGAGACGTAGGCATACTTTGTAGAACAATATTAAAGCTAATGTGAAGGAAACAAAGTGGGATAGAGTGAACTGGTCTCATCTTGCTGCGGATTGAGACCAATGGCAGGCTCATGTGATTACGTAATGTACCTTCCGATTCGTAATAAATGGGCTTTTTAGACACACAAGTGACAATTGGCTGCTCAAGAAAGACTCCATCACATGGAGCTATAAAATATAAATATTTGCAACAAATTATTCCTTCAAAAGAGCGGATAAAGGTAAAAAGTGTTAACTTTTAAGTCGCACCTCATTGTTCGAAAAACTTTCAATAGATTTTAGTACAACACTAGATGGAAATGGATGGGTCTTGCTACTCCATTTGTAATAAGTAACAAAGTTGCTTTACCAGTGTCTCGAAACCCGCAGCATAGAAGTCTTTCAACTCATGAGCGGAACGTTTGCTACCCAGTTGTGAAACGATTTACGCTACAAAAATTTCCCAAAGTAAACGGGAAACATTTGTTTATGGATATCCTTTTCATTGTGTCCGTTTGCCCAAGAGACACTCATAATAAAACGCAGCTCTTCAGTGGTACAGGGTGAGTCAGAAAGAATGGATGGATTTCAAGCGACCCTTACGCCGCGACGGGTGGAGGCGTAGAGTGAGGGGGGGATACCGTTGGGTCAGCGAAAGAACGCAGTTTCAGTTGGTAACATGGAGTGGTCGGGTGCACAGCGTGCGTTCGTCGTAGAGACGTTTTTGAAAGATAGAGAGTCTGTGATCGCCACTCAACGAGCCTTCCGCACTCATTTCGAGCTCGGACGTCGCGATAGGATCCCTACTTGGAACACAATTTTGCGGTGGGTGGCTTCATTTCGTGCCACAGGTTCAACCTTAAAGAAGAAATCCCCTGGACGGCCTTGCAGTAACCGTTACAAGTGCTCGTTACGTTGAAATGTTACAAAATTTCTTGCAACCAAGGCTGAACGAGCTTGCTGTTGATGCTGAGGACATTTGGTTTCAACAAGCTGGGGCCACTGCTCACACTGCGCAACTAATAATGTATCTCCTGAGAGGACTCTTTCAGGGGAACATCATCTCGCATCGCGGTGACATTCCTTGGCCCACATGTTCGCCCGATCTTGCACCCTGCGATTTCTTCCTTTGGGGCCATCTGAAGGCAGAAGTTTATAAACATCTAGCACATACACTGGACGAGCTGAAGATAGCGATTCGAGAAGAAATCGCGGTGATTCCACCAGATATGGCCGCGAGAGTGATGAATAACTTTAGAAAGCGCCTCGACGTCTACATCAGAAGCCAAGGACGTCATATGGATATTATATTCCAAAAATAAACTGCGTGTATTGGCGAATCTGATGGTAACAGTAGAATTTGGATTTAATGAAGCCTTGCCAATTTTATTGCCCTGTGAAATCCATCCATTCTTTCTGACGCACCCTGTACATTCCTCAAGCAACGTCGCCATTTTGACTATTGAAAGCAGCCTCTGAACATAGGCATGCGCGTCTGATACCTAGATTGTCATAAAGTCTGACTGTGCTGCTACCTAATGATATACATAAAAAGTTTATTACATCCATTACAACTGTTTTACTTCCATTTTTTGCCATATTTACTGACCCTCCCTCGTACAATAGCAGGAGGCCTACCTGTCTCGCCGGATGGCGTCTGCTGTTGCTGACACCCGGTGGAGTCATCTGCATCGTCTCCATGGTCAACCTCCATTTCAACTGACCTCAGGGTGGAAAAGAAATTCCGGATGGGAACTTCACGCTACGACCGCAATTGGGGGTCGTTGACTTCCGCGGCGGATGTTTTAGCTTTCTTGGCTCTTTTGTCGGAATCATCTGTAAGTTTCTTCTCTGCTCGCGGATAGGGGTCGGATAGGGGTGCAGTAAGAGTGATCTTAGCTGTCTCCCCTTTGGCAGAACTTTCTTTGAGGTCTGCCGTCAAGTCTTGTAGCACATATCTTTACACAGCATAGAACCGCTTTCCTTCCAGAAACTGGTGGAGATTCCTCCTGGCTTCCGTCATGTTTTGGACGATCATAATCCATTTCGGAATTTCGCAAACTGAAGGAGGGGTACATTCCGCCAGGTGGGTAATGGCGATGAGTGCCCTCGTACACATTCCATAACACCATAGGCGTCAGGATGTTTTCAAGTAAACGTGAAATTCAAAGTCAGTCGACCAGTCTCTCTTGGTGTCAAGACCCATCTGGGGTCCAAGACAAGACAGGTGCGACATGGTTGATTTGAGATGTCCTCTCTCACGAGAAAACGGTCAGTCACATACAAAGGCTGATGGTACTAGCCAGTGCAGTCATTCTCGGGTCCGATTTCCGCGGGACTCATAACCATGTTTTACTCTCTCAGGTGTGAGACTCCCCCAACTCGGAGGGCCAGATCCACTTATTTATATACCCCAGGACCTCTGTGGTCCAGTTATATCCCCCAGGTACTGGGTTCCCTTTCTGTCGCGTTATACGATTCGCAGGACTTGTAGAAGTATTCAAACCAACTCCCACACGTGCGGGATGTTTTTAAAGTCAAAGTTATATTACGACCGGCGGTCAGTCGGCCAGTCTCTCTTGGAATAAAACATCCACCTGGGGCTTAAGACCAGATCCTTGTTGCTGTATAACAGTTGCAGACTTCTTAATGTGGGGCACTCTCTCTGACGAGAGGGTGGGTCTGTCGTTTGCCGGAGTCACAGTCAACAGTAATAAGTATGTTGTCAGTATGTACAATTTACATTTTATGCGTTATTAATTGTATATATAATATTTATATAGCCTCTGTCAATCCAGGCTCAGCACAGCAGATTGAGCCCTATTCTTAGTAGCTCCTGCTACAACGGCAGTCTAGTCATTTGAACAGTCGTTATGCTTGACCACCGCTAGGTTTAAGCCTCTTATATTTTCTCTATCGGAGCTCGCCTTGCCCAATATTGCGAAAATTTGCATTTTCGTCATTTTGTATAACTTCTGCTTGTTCCAAGCATAATTTTGTTTTTTAATCATATATGTACGGAAGTTTGAAAACCATGTGCAAATCGCGAATCGCTGTGCGCCTTGGAGACTTTCCAGTTGTGTGGAGAACTTCGTTTTGCAGGCGCTGCAATTTCTGCCTGAAACTCCCAGGCGGGGCAAGTATAAGTCATTATACACCTAATGAATGCTTTTTGGAGAATAAATTTAATGTTAATACTCAATCGTTCAATTTTGAGCATAAAATATATTCTAATAAATGTTCTGAAGACTTTGGCTTCGATCATTTCTAGTTAGTTAGTTATTGGAGAGGGTGGGTTTCCCCATGCACTTAGACCTGTCTTGGTCCATTGCGCTTCCCTCTATGATATTCTACCAGTCTCTATATCTAACCGGTACTGGTGCTTACCATCAGTCCCTCCCAGCCAGCCAGATCGGCCTCTACTATCTGAGTGGTATCTTTAATGCTTCCCCCCTCTACCGGAGGTGTTAGAGACTACTGTTGGGCGGGAAACGTCCGTAATTTTGCTCAGTGGCCTCCTTTGGAGACATGAGGTTCTTTTACGTGCCGTAAAGCTACGACACGGGACTCACGGCTTAAAGTCCCTCCCGGAGGACTTGTTCCCTGAATTTGTCCGCCCTTAAAAATTCCACGACCTCCGCCGGGTTTGAACCCGCGTACCTTGAGTCACGAGATGGGAACGTTACCCCTAGTCTACGGAGGCCGCTCTCGATCATTTCTATGTGCAATCTCCATGTAGCTTTCTTATCGAAGATTCCACCGAGATACTTTCTACTATTTACAAATGGAATGTTTCGTTCCTTCAATGTGAGATGGGACTCAGGCGGTCGACGACTGAGAGAAAAGCTGATCCCCGAGACTTAACTTCATTATTGTGAATATTCCAGCGCTCACACCAGGTCTCCACTGAGCCGATACTGCGCTGGAATTTTCCGACAATAAAACCGTCCTTGCGATCTGTCGCATACAGACAGGTCTCGTCGTCAAGGAGAGCTAGGTAAAGATCAGACGTTTGGGGGGGGGGATATCATTTATATACATGTTGTACAAAGTAGGAGACAGGACAGAATCTTGAGGCACCCCTGCTCGCATTGCCCTTGACGCATACATTTCGCATTCAACCGAAACATTGACTTTGCGTTTCGAAAGAAAGAAGCTAATGGGCTTGATTAAACTAGTATAAAATTTCAGTTTATATAAGTTATATAGCAAGCCAGAGTGCCATGTGGTATCAAAGGCTCTTTCAATGTTCAAGAACACCGCGGCCGTATACATTTTATTGTTGAAATTAAGGGTCACCTGATCCATTAGCCTCACACATTGCAGCGTCGCGCTGTGACGTGCAGGGAAACCAAACTGGCTTGAGTTGAGCAGGCCTC